CCAAAAAAAATCTTTGCCTTCCCCCCTTCTTTCCCCTCTTAAAAATATGTCCCCTTCCATTAATATACATTATACATTATATTGTATACTAACTTATGTTGAATAAGATCCACTTATTTGAAGAAATTGCAGGACATTATATTATTATGGATTTAGTTTCAAGAATAAGAGATCAGAGCTGAAAACTTTAGAATGGTGGATATCATAAAAGGGCTAATGTCATAAATTTCGAGATTAAATATTGCAGTAACTCTGCATGATTTTAAACTTCAGATTAATTATTCGACGGGATATCTGGATATTTCATCTAAAGTTTTCAGTTAGCCCTTTTATGATATCCACCATTCTAAAGTTTTCAGCTCTGAATACTAATTAAATTTTTTCAGATCTTTTCCGTTTGAACCCTGGATGTTAGAGCTATAGAGTTATTTATGTAAAAGAATCAAGCAAACATATCCACAAGTGAAATGCAAGAACAATTAATTATCACTTAAACAGACTTAAAGTGAGATTATGCAATATGTTCACTAAGTGAGTTTAAATGTGTATGTATATAAAGAATTACGTACGGTGAATCATCTTTTCAATTAATCAATATTCAGTAAACGCTCCATGAAAGATTAAGATAGAACTTTACTTCTAAATTATGCACGTTTTGAGATTTATCTTAAAAACCAAGTTCCGTGAGAAAGGCATAATATCAATATGCTTGCTCTGCAATGTATGCAGGAAATGTTAATGTTCAGTAGACCTAATACCGTCAATATTTTAGTCTTACTTTAACATTTCCTATTTTTTTTTTACACAAAGTGAGTTTATTAAACTTTTTCAAAGCTTTAACTTGAATTTTTTCTTATTCTGTTACATGTAGATTGTACAATGTACAATGTGCATGACACATCCAAGTGTTACTAAGATGTAAATTTTGAAGTTTAATTATTAGTTCGGATAGTTCATCATTCGTCATCCTTTCAGATAGTATACTTTCACCTTGTAGGCTCGGAGTGTTATCTATTAGTTAAAAAGTTTTCAAAAACAAAAAAATCGTCTAAAACTGATATCGATATTCGACATAGTTTTACTTTATAAATATTAAAACTTCTTTGTAAACAATCTTGATATCCACCTTCCTCGCGGCCCTGTATCACTGCGTCAGTACAAATTGTTTTCTACATTCAATTAATATTTCGAATAAAGATAAAATTAATAGGTGTTGTTAATGTTGAGTTTTTGTTCCCCTTAAAATCATGATGGTTTTTTTGTATTTTTTTTCGTTCATTATGATGGAGTAAAAACGCTTTAAATTGTATATTATATGATAGTTTGAATAAATTGAATGAACAAGGTTATAGGATGATTGATTGATTTAATGAATGGTTGATTGATTGATTNGTCCCCTTAAAGGGAATATCAGTTTCAACGTAATTGTGTCCTGTCACTCTCTTTACAGTTTCATTTCCTTTAAAAATAGCAAAATAATTGAAATAAAAGCTGGATTATTTTATCTTGAACTTTGAATAACTCTAATTATATTGGAGCCTTAAAAAATGTTAACACCTTAGAAAACGAAAAAAAGTTCTTCGTTGAATTGATGACACATATTAATTAAAGGATCACACAAAGTTACGTTAACAATTCCTTCAGATGGACAGAAGTTGTAATTTCAAGTAACATGTCATTTAAAGAGTAGTATATCCGATTCACAACGGTTTCCCTGATTATACCATAATGTGGAACATATCGTCCTTTTTCTAGCTTAAGAAGTCTGGCAATTTTCTTGAATGTGCACGCAAACATTAGTAAGACACTTATATAGGTAAACCATTATTGAAAATAATAAATTTTCCAGAAAGAAAAACATAAAACGCTTATTTTATCTTGAGCAGACAAAGCTTTAAAATGTACTGTTGTAAATTAGACATTACACAGTCCTTTAAAGGGATCCGTAATACAAATTTCAAGTTTCCCCTCCATAGTACAAGCAAAGATGGCAATGCCCGATTTTCAACCGTACCTTTGTGTAAGTATGAATAAGATGGCAATGTTAAACATTTTAAAACAGGTTATTTTCGATTGTGGTTTGTCTTCAAGAGTCACTTGCGCATTTAAACTGCAGAAAAATAGAAGAAGAAGAGAGAGACTCTAAAGATACAAGATTAACTCTTATGGAAGAAGTTCTTTTGCTTGGACTCAAGGAATCAAATTCATTTTATTGTTTTTCTCGAAAATGTTGGTTAGTTTTCATATTAATTTTTTGGATAAGATGTCATGATGTTGTCCAAGGAAGAGTTAAAAGTTCTCGGATTTCATTCATTCATTATTTCACGACGGATACATTTGATCACATTTTTGAAAAATCCCCTCCCCCCCCCTCCTTGCATAACGCCCTTGTTGTGCTTCTGTGTGTATTAATTGTTTGTATTGTTTAATGGACAGTGTGTGTATAGTATCTATTGTTGTTATTGTCGAATTAATCGTTTTTGTTTTTAATCTTTATAGGTCATTCTTATATTTTATTACTGAACACATTGATTCAGTTAAGAAAGTATAGTGTATGTTTAATATACCTCAATGATGGATATTGATGGATAATGATGGATATTGATGGATAATGATAGATATTGATGGATAATGATGGATATTGATGGATGTTGATGGATATTGATGGATGTTGATGGATATTGATGGATATTGATGGATATTGATGGATATTGATGGATATTGATGGGTATTTATGGGTATTGATGGATATTGATGGGTATTGATGGATATTGATGGATATTGATGGATATTGATGGGTATAGATGGATATTGATGGATATTGATGGATATTGATGGATATTGATGGATATTGATGGGTATTGATGGATATTGATGGATATTGATGGGTATTGATGGGTATTGATGGATATTGATGGATATTGATGGATATTGATGGGTATTGATGGATATTGATGGATATTGATGGGTATTGATGGATATTGATGGATATTGATGGATATTGATGGGTATTGATGGATATTGATGGATATTGATGGATATTGATGGATATTGATGGATAATGATGGATATTGATGGATATTGATGGATATTGATGTTTATTGATGTTTATTGATGGATATTTATGGGTATTGATGGATATTGATGGATATTGATGGGTATCGATGGGTATTGATGGGTATTGATGGATATCAATGGATATCAATGGGTATCAATGTAAATATCCATGTAATAATGATTTAAATATCCATTATCCATGAATAAAGTATTAAAATGAATATTGATGGGTACAGGATAAAGAAGGATACACTTCCTTCTGGAATGACTGTATTAGTTCTGGACTAAGAGGTAAAAAATTTAAAATATTAAAAATAGGTTTCGCTCATTTTATCTGATTAAAATCTGCTTGCAGGAAAATTCAATATTCTATCGTTATAAAATATAAATTGAGGATATCTCCAAGAAATCATCATGAACTTTTTCATATGAATAATAATAAATTATGAATCATTCCCCTTTTCTGCCTTAATAGAGTATATTTTCACGATATAAAGCCGCAGATCTTCATAATGCCCCCCCGCATCACAAATGATGTTTCGGCCCTGGATTTCTTTGTGTTGATCTCCTCCCACTGCAGTACACAGATTTGACACTTCAAATATGGCGGTTCTTCCTAGTTAATACTTACTTGTTGATGTTCAGGATGTATTCTGATAGAACTGGCAATCCGAGGAAGGATAGAGTTGGAACGAGCAGGAATGAGGAGGAAGGGACTTTTAACCAGGTATTGCAAGAGCAGGGGTGTATATTCCCCACCCAGCGGGGGTAGGCAGGGGGCGTATGACCCCCCCCCCCCGAGTTTTTTGATTAATGAACCAAATAAAACAATTATAGAATATGTAGGATCTATTTCTACTTTTTTAGTTTTCCAAGACAATTGTGAGGAAAGAAAATTCAAGCTGAATTATCTGAATTTTCTGAATTTCCAGGAAACTTGCCGGGAAGATAATTTAATCTAAATTGAATTTCCCTCTTGGTTTTTAAGAAACTTTAAGCTAAATGCAATTCTTTCACTTTATTTTCAAGGCTAGTTTTGGGGAAGAAAATTCAAACTAGATTGATTATTTTTTTCCTGGTTTTTTCTTATTATTGACTCACTTTTTTCTTTCTTCTTCCTCTCTCCTTTCAGACTTTTCACTTTTTCTCTTCCCTGTTTGGTCAAATTTTGAGGGGGGAGGGGGTAAAAAAGTAAGAATATACACCCTATTAGCAAGAGAACGTAAAAAACACGAAAGCCGAATTCAGTTCTAGGTGTTATCTGTCAAATATTTGTGCATTAAAGTGAAACGAAAATTATGGAATTGGAATAAAAGTTTGTATTTTCTGGTTTATGTAAATTCTAACGTTGCGAGTTAAGAGCCTCTTTTACTGGTTCATTCTCGTATTTCATGTTAGCTCCCTCCCCCCCTCCCTTCCCCAGCCTTCTTAAAATCTAATTTTTGTGATCCTATCATTCTTAATGTAGTTTGGGAACCCAGCTTTGCCTGGAGTTTTCCCTATAATGTAGCATTTTTAGACCAGGTTAAGAACATTCCTGTGGCCCAATCAAGTACCCCAATAGAAATTTGTGGCTATTCGGTCATCCAATCTGATCAGACATTCAAAAATACTGACAAACAAAGACTACTTACTACATACTACTTTATAGAAAAACTCATTTTTTAGGAAAATAAATTTGAAGAACGCTGATCCTTGTGGTGATGTTCTACTAGACGAGGCTCTCAAACATATCAAGGTTAAAAAGTTTCCATTATAGTCCCCTTAAAGGGAATATCAGTTTCAACGTAATTGTGTCCTGTCACTCTCTTTACAGTTTCATTTCCTTTAAAAATAGCAAAATAATTGAAATAAAAGCTGGATTATTTTATCTTGAACTTTGAATAACTCTAATTATATTGGAGCCTTAAAAAATGTTAACACCTTAGAAAACGAAAAAAAGTTCTTCGTTGAATTGATGACACATATTAATTAAAGGATCACACAAAGTTACGTTAACAATTCCTTCAGATGGACAGAAGTTGTAATTTCAAGTAACATGTCATTTAAAGAGTAGTATATCCGATTCACAACGGTTTCCCTGATTATACCATAATGTGGAACATATCGTCCTTTTTCTAGCTTAAGAAGTCTGGCAATTTTCTTGAATGTTTCTGCACGCAAACATTAGTAAGACACTTATATAGGTAAACCATTATTGAAAATAATAAATTTTCCAGAAAGAAAAACATAAAACGCTTATTTTATCTTGAGCAGACAAAGCTTTAAAATGTACTGTTGTAAATTAGACATTACACAGTCCTTTAAAGGGATCCGTAATACAAATTTCAAGTTTCCCCTCCATAGTACAAGCAAAGATGGCAATGCCCGATTTTCAACCGTACCTTTGTGTAAGTATGAATAAGATGGCAATGTTAAACATTTTAAAACAGGTTATTTTCGATTGTGGTTTGTCTTCAAGAGTCACTTGCGCATTTAAACTGCAGAAAAATATATCTGAATTATCTGAATTAAATACTTTAAACCTATAAAAACGACATTTTACATTATTTATCCTGACAACTTCAAAGGTTTAGTTTAAACTTGTTTAAATTGGTTTAAATTGGTTTAAATTGGTTTAAATTGGTTTAAATTGGTTCAAGTTGGTTTAAGTTGGTTTAAGTTGGTTTAAGTTGGTGTCACTGATTCAAACTGGTTTTAGCTCAAATCAATTGTTTAGGAAACCAACCAGACAGAGACAGTTCAGACCTGGATAGAGTATCTTAGTGGGGAAACATGGAACCCTCTGAAACTAAGGTATTGATTGATTTGATTGATTGATTGACTGGTTATTGAGTTTTTACTGAATAATTTTTATCGCTAAGTGGAATATTCATTCGAACAATGTGTTTCTAATGTCTTATGCTATCTTGAAAATCAAAATATGCTTATTTGCCCTCGTGACCCATATATGTAACACAACATGGGTTAAGAGAATGGACCAGATGAGATAAAATTGGATAAAAGAGGAACCAAGCTAAGGACGGTAGCATTATATACAAGAAACCCAGGGTTTGAATCGATTATTGGTTATTGATAATCTGAAGTAAAAAAGAACCGGTTTGATTCTTTTTAGAATGAAATAAATTTTGTTGATGGATTGATTAATAATAAAATTAATAATATGAAGATATGAACTGGGTTAAAATTCTGGTTCTTGGTCTTAAGGGGTATAAAATGTATTCTGTAAATGTTTAACCAAGAACCATCCAACTGTAGCTGTACTTGAACCCGAACGTTGTTTAAAAGGTACCAGCTGAAGAACGTTAGGGAGAGGTTGGCCAAGAACCTTGTCGAGAAAGGGGTTCTCACCACCGAGAAGCAGAACTTTCTTCTCTTTGACATGACGACCCACCCCATCACCGACAACCTCCAGAAGACGAGGTTGGTGAAGAAGGTTCAGGAGTCCGTCCTCAGTAAATGGGTCAATGATCCTCACAGGTCTGTACACGATAATACATTATACACTATCCACTACAGTAAACAGTACAGTACACATTGCGCGATATTTTATCCACTTATTAAAATTGCAATACATATTTTATTAAAGAGAACAGTCTTGTAAAACTTATTTTCTCATGAGGAAATAGTTTAGATTTCTATTGCTAACATTTTGCTGCAATTTTCTTATGTATAATTAATTTATTATTCTAATATGCCAAATTTGTATTTTTCCCAAATCTTTAATTAAGGAGGGATAAATATAAATAATAGTGTTTGATTAAAAATAAACATTGTAGTTATGAATGGATTTAAATAATAAGAATATTTAATTAAGAATGGATTAATGTATTTTTTTAATTAGGATGAATGAAAAGAAATAAAATGTCTAAGGGTGAATTAGAATAATCATGAAAAAAAAACAATTAACTTTTAATTCAGATGAATATTGATATTTAATTAAGGATGGATAAAAGAACTCTATCCTTGATATTTCTGGCGCACAGCTCTGATGTTCTAGAAAACGCATTTGCCCCCCTCAGGCAAAATCAACAATAATGTTATGTTATCAATGCTTAGGATCCGGATCCGCAAAAATATTCGGATCCACGGGTCCTAGGAGCAGCAAACTATTAACCAAAAATTGAAAAAAAAAATTTTACCCTCAAAACCCAAATTTGACCTGTGATAATGGAAAGATTATAAAAATTTCCTGATCTCTGAATAGTTCAAGTTTCAGGATAAAAATAAACGGAAAAAAAAGAAAAATTATTTTACCATTCTACTGTTAAAAATAAAAATCAGTAAATCTTGAGGAAATGTTCAAGACTTGGATCCGGATCCGGATCCACATCAAAATAAAATGTATCCTAAGCACTGCATGTTATAAAATGTAGATTTTTGGGGAAATAAAGGATTTATCAATTTAATTTAAGTTCTTGCCGATTCCATTTTTACAAAATCAGTTAAAAATAACAGGGATACATGTTTTAAATCTAGGGAAAGGAAAAAAACTCGGGTGTTAGAGCATAAAATGGGATAATGCCAAACCCTCACAAATACATATAAAAAATCAGTTTTAATTTTAAACCTAAAATGTTGATTTTAATCTAGTGATGACGATTATGATGTAGCAATGAAACGAGTCAGGTAACAAATAAACCCCTTTTTATCCGTTTTATTGTCAGTAGTTGTCCTTTAATGCCAGAATTCGTCAGTAATCGCCCTTATTCGCCGGGATTCGTCCTTATTCTCCATTCTTATGTGACAGGATTCGTCACTTTTCTGCAGGATCTATCAATATTCGCCAGTTTGTCCTCATTTGCCATGATCCGTTCATTTGGCAGGATCTGGCCTTGATTGACATGATCTGTCCTTTTACGCCATGAACAGTTTTTATTCGCCATGAACCGACCTTATTCGCATTGATCTATCCGTATTCGCTATAGTCCGGCCGTTTGTTTGAATTTCAACCAAGAATTACCCCATTCATTCAAAAATAGTGTATTTGCTGATGATTTGGGGGGAAAATGAAAAATTGGACATGAAAAAGACAACTTCTTTCATTCTCTTTCATACTTCATTGAGTTCCCCCTAAATTCAGCGAAAAAAACCCCAAAAATCTTGATTTTAAATTTAACTTCTGGGGAAGATTATTTTCAACGAGGGGGGTTGGGAGAAAAATGACTTTTTGAGATAATATACAGTATATACGCCCCTGCATATAACTATTATACATATGTAGCATTAATGATAAAGCACAAGTTAAATCTAATAAATGTCAATGATTTTTATTTTAAGAATTTGATTATAAGCTTTGTATGTTTATAAATAAGTAAATGAACTTATGAACAAGTGGTATTTAAAGACAAGTGTTCCTTAGTTGATAATTAGTAATAATCTTTTCAAAATATTAGGATCCTTTGGGATTAAATTTGTCATTTTTATCTTTTATTTTTACAAAATGGCTTCAGACAAAATTGTGATTTTTTAAATTTACAATTTTATGCGATTTTTTTATATTTCACGAAAATAATTTTTGATGAATATATTATCCCTCTTTAATTTTTCTGTTGTTAAAGGAAAAACGAGTTTAATCCACAAATGTGCCTTAAGTCGCCATATTAGAAATATCTAAGAATCTTTTTTTGTTCTTTTCTAAATGAGATCAACATTTTCAAAACACAAGTTTTTATCTTACTCAGACTAATTACTACAACAAAAATTATAATTTAATTATTTTAGGGACCTCCTTGATCTTGATATAGAGGCGGAGTCTGCTAAGCAAGGAACCAATGAACTGATGTGGGCAGTCTTTGCAGCCTTCACCAAGTAGATATCCTCTACTCTCATCACACAGTTCAACATATGGTTATTAAAGATCACATTTTCAGACCAAAACAGCTGTTCCAAATATTTCAACTGTGCTATTTAAATCAGCTGTTCTGTTCAAATCAGCTGTTCTGAATATTTCAGTTTTTCTGATTAAATCATCTGTTTTGATCAAATCAGCTGTTCTGATAAAATCAGCTGTATTGATTAAATCTGTTGTTCTGATTATATCAGTTGTTCTGATTAAATCAGTTGTTCTGCTTAAATCAGCTGTTCTGATTAAATCAGTTGTTCTGATTAAATCAGTTGTTCTACTTAAATCAGCTGTTATGATTAAATCAGCTGTTCTGATTAAATCAGTTGTTCTGATTAAATCAGTTGTTCTGATTAAATCAGTTGTTCTGATTAAATCAGTTGTTCTGCTTAAATCAGTTGTTCTGCTTAAATCAGCTGTTCTGATTAAATTAGCTGCTGTGGTTAATTTAGATGTCTGATTAATTCAGCTGTCCTGATAAAATCAGTTTTATTTTGACAAAATCAGCGATGCTGTTTGGATCAGTTATCATCAGATGAACAAATCAGACTTTTTAAACTAAGCTGTTTTTAAAACAATAGCTGTTATGTACAACTAAGCTGTTGTGTATAAACCAACATGACTAGTGAGTAGAGACTACCTGTTCTGCTGATCGATATCCATTATTCAGTAGTGTACTTGATAAACGCCTTTATTCTGAATTTGCACAAAATTTAGGTTTTTTTATGCAAAAAGTCAAAAACCTCCTCGAAATTTAATCAATCCAATCATTCCTTTTTGCTGAAGTTTATTCCCCATAAAATCCTTAATTAATTGCATTTACATTTTTCTTCATGTTAACAGTTTCAATATTACCTTAAAATTCTAGATTTTCTTTAGTGAAAGGCTTAACCCGTGATATTTTGTATTCATCATTTATCAGCTCGGAACTTTATGTTTTCACTTTGGATAAACTTGTATTTTTGACTTCATATAAATATTTGGTTTTGGGTTTTTAGTATTTAACGCTTCATAGATACAAGCAAGGGTCCACAAACCTTTCAGTAAAAAAACACTGAGAATTTTCAGCGGCAGCTTGTTTTTCTTTTAATCGAAAAGGTGCAAAAATGGTTTGTGGACTTCTATATCGCAGGATTATATATACTTATACTGTTAAACGTACTTTGAGTACATGTGAGGAATGTGTATCCATATAATTAAACATAGAAAAATAGTATGTAATGCTTTTAAAAACTTTTTTTTGTAACGATCCGAAAAATTTTAGATTTCAAGTTTTATTTTCAATATGATTTTTGAGACGAACAGAAATTGCATTTTCCATCCATCACATTGTTTTGAGTGAAACGACAAATAATTATAAAAACTATTTATCTGTTTTAGTGTTGATTTATTTTTAAATAAATATAAAACATAACAATAAGAAATAATTCACTTTTCAGATTTTAAAAGAAAAATGAAGGTAAAGCGGCAGAAGAGGGTTGCGAAAATTCTAAAATATTTTCATCTAAATTTTGGTTTTCGGCGGCCATTCAATCTGGTCGTCGACGGAACCTTCTGCGCCGGATGTTTGGAGGCGAAGGTTAAAATCAAGGAGCAGATGCCTAAGTAGGTTTATTTTCAGACGTCAATATTTTTAAGAACCCTTCCCCCCCCCCCCAATCATTTTTAAGATTGGGGGGGGGGAGGATGAATGAAAAATTATGACCTAACAAAAGTTAGTTTTTTCATCCTTTTTCATTCTACTTGTCCAAAAAAAAAATTTGTCTTTCTCCAATATAGCGAATAAAAACTTTTAAAAAAGTTATAAATACCCAACTTTTATGGGGAACAAAAAGGATTTTCAAAGCAATGTGGGGTTCGATGATTTTTCAAGAAAAAATACACCCGTGTTTATTTTCAACCCTTTAAACTTTCTGACTTCTCCTCCCCCTCCTTAAACTGACTAAGACTGTTCTTAATATTTAAAAAAGAAATTGAATAACCGAAAAGCTTAATTGATTGATTGATTAAAAACGAACTTGAATTTTCTTAAAAGGCTTTAACAGTTTCATCTGCGACTTGTAAATCCTTATTTCAATCCCAGTTTAGCACAATCATAATGGGATTGCAATGTGGTCAAAGGGTTTTAAGTCTGATTTATTGATTTAAAAAAAAATAATTTGAATTGTAGAAATTGAACGGTATTCGTATTGTTTATGCGATTTGGAATAGCGGAATAGCAATGAAAATGTAGTAACTATCTATAAGCGTTGCATTCAGTCAGCAGAGATTTCTTTAAAAATGTAAAATAAGGTTCGGGACCTGGCTGAGCGCTGTAACAACTGAATATATACACTTTACAGTACACTACAGTCATAATCAGAAAGTCACGGAATTAATTGACAGCCACAGGCGACCTTTCATATTTATATCTCTGGTAGTTTTGAATGCTCAAAAAAGACGGACTACATTTTAAAAATTACAGGACTAGATCTATTTTGAATTATCGTTTTATCAATCATATTTGTGAAATCATATTTTAGTGTCGTCTGATAATCGTAAATTAATTCCGGATCTGATTTGGACTGTATTATTTATTATATAAAGGCATTTGTGTTATCCGTGGGCTTGATGTTTTTTCCTTCAAACTTTTTCATCCTACTTTCCGGAGTATATATTTCCTTTATAAGTTTTAGGATTTGAGAGAACTAATATGTTAAATTTTTGATGCCTTTTTATTCAAAAATTTGAGAGAAGGAAAGATTCGCAAATTTTGTTTATTGAGTTACGAAGGAGCCCCCTCAACAAATGATTACAACTATTTTGAATATACAAATAGTGGTAATTGCTCAAAAAAGTAAATTTTTACTAAAACAAACGAGATTTTCGATGAATCGAATTTTTTTGGGATGGAAAAACAATATTTGATATGAAATTTCTAATCTTTTTTATTTTGTCATAAAATAATTGATTTCTTTTTACTTTTTTTTTAGTTAAGTTTTTAATAAATATAAGTAATCATCCTTTTCAACTTCCCATATCATACATCGTTATTCGTGAACCAGATGGATAAAAATATTTTAAAATCTTTATTTAAAAAAAAATAAATAATGTGTCCAGCATTTGAATTAGTTCAGTGTGAAGACTGAATTTTTTTATCGTTAATTTTTTAAATTTAAATTTTTAACAATATGTATAAATTAAAATAGATGATGGTCGAAACAATTTACATCATTTTCTGCACTACACTTCTTGTTCTCGAATTTTCTTCCTTGTGATGGAGCTTCCATCATGTTCTTGGTTAAACCACACTTCTTGTTCTCCAATTTTCTTCCTTGTGATGCAGTTTCCATCATGTTCTTGGTTAAATCACTACACTTCTTGTTCTCGAATTTTCTTCCTTGTGATGGAGCTTCCATCATGTTCTTGGTTAAATCACTACACTTCTTGTTCTCCAATTTTCTTCCTTGTGATGGAGCTTCCATCATGTTCTTGGTTAAACCACTACACTTCTTGTTCTCCAATTTTCTTCCTTGTGATGCAACTTCCATCATGTTCTTGGGTAAATCACTACAGTTCTTGTTCTCCAATTTTCTTCCTTGATGCAACTTCCATCATGTTCTTGATTAAATCACTACAGTTCTTGTTCTCCAATTTTCTTCCTTGTGATGCAACTTCCATCATGTTCTTGGTTAAATTACTACAGTTCTTGTTCTCCAATTTTCTTCCTTGTGATGCAACTTCCATCATGTTCTTGGTTAAATGTTGAAAGAAGGAAGATTGAACTTTAAAATGTGATAATACAGTGTTGTGTAAGATTTTACATCATCAGTTTAATGCTAAAATTCTATTTGATTCTATATCAGGATTAATCTACTGAAGATTGCTGCAAGGCAGGAAACATCATGTTTTAGAAACCTCATTGAACATACAATCAAACTCTACGGACATGTTAGCACTTTCTGTAAGTGCTTATAAAGCATCTCCTATAGTTATCCTCCAGAATCCATGCTCTTTCAGGCATATGAAAAAGAAGATCTAATATAGACCAGGGTAAGATGGAGAACTCAACCCTGTTTTCATTGTATTATAACCTACAGGTCGTTGTACTTTATCTCTAGGTTGATTGTTGATAATAATAATAATAATGAGATTCTAAAATATATTGAAATGTTTTAATTTGAAGCTGTAATTCTATTTAATTTTATATTTAGATATATTGGAGAGTGCAAGCTGGTAACTACTGGATGCTGTATCACAGAAATAGAATCTCTAGGTAACCAACTAAGTTACTGGCGTGTAAATTTTTCAGAATTACCCCCCGAGAATTAATCTTATCCTCAGTAAAAATTTTCCTAATTCAGCGAATAAAACCCTTAAAAATTTGTTTATAAAGGGTCCGCCAAGTAACTTTTTTTTGAAAATGCTATAAAAAACTACTGAATATTTTCTAAAATTTTTTTTTATTTGAAAGTAAAATCCTTCCGGTTAATAATGGAAAATAATTTCATACAAATGCAGTAGCCTACACGATCGGTACAATTAAGCTACACTCGATGTTTTGCGCCCTGATTTTGAAGATCGCATTATCAGCCGCAGAGCTGATGTGGTTTGGCCACCTCGGAGCTGCGATTTGACACCGTTGGACTATTATTTGTGAGAACCCTCAAAGATAAATGTTACGCCGACAAGCCAGAGACAATTGACGCTTTAAAAGACAATATTCGTAAAGGCATTGGTGAAATACAGCTGCACCCAATCAATAATGTGCTTGAAAATTTAACCGATCGTGTAGGCAACCGCATGGCCAGCCGAGGGGACCATTTGAATGAAATTATTTTCCATTATTAACTGAAGGATTGTACTTTCAAATAAAAAGTAAATTTGAGAAAATATTTAGTAGTTTTTTTATAGCATTTAAAAAAAAAAGTTTTTTGGCGGACCCTTTATAACTTTTAGAGAAATTATTCTTTTTTAAAGGGATGGGCACCGGAAGAGGGGTGGGGGAAATTTATAAAATAAAGACATAAAACAAAGTTTTAAGATTTACAAAACATGAATTAGGCGAAACTCATGTAACATACATACAATTTAGGATAACTCAATAGACACACAAACCTGATATTTGTATGTTTAAGGTTCTCCTCAGCTGTACGGTGCTACTCTAATACTCAAGAGCATGGCATTATTTAGGTAAGTTCAACGCTGATACAGTGTTGGCTACAGCGGGACGCTTAAAAATTACATAAATTTCTAAGAGCTTTATTTTTGTTAACTAAAATTTGCATTGGGGGGGAAATTAATATTTTGTATCTGTTACACAATTGAGCACTCCCCCCCCCCTTGAATATGAATCTTTTAAAATATTTTGTATTTTGAACAAATTATAGTGGACTCGACCATTAAAAACAGAAGTTAGAGTTGTTTTTAAACCATTCTTAGCATTGGACCAATTCAAGATTTATGTCTACTTTAAAAATCATGTTAGAGGTAAAATCAGGAAAAAATACGGGTTCACCTAAACTAAGTAAAATGTCTGGATTATTTGGACAAATTTTACTTTGCCACAGAGTATCTTTGTGTGATTCAAAATTTTTGTTTGACTATGAACTAGATACTCATGTGACCAGTCAAGTACAATAGAGGAACACATCTTATAATCGCAGTGCTTAGGATCCAGATCTGGATTTTGGCTTCCTGGATTAATCTTTTTTA